AAAAACAAGGGATGGGACAATACAGGCAGCACTATTATCACGACCCTGTCTACAAAATCCCCCCAAACACCTCAAGCCACAGGAGGAATTGCTTACTAGGGTCAGAAGTTATTGTTCTTCCCTGGCCTGAACCTTGTCTCATGGTACATCAAAAATAATCACCAACCTCTAATCCAATGCAGTGCAGTGTGCTTTGGGAGGCTGGGAGTTCAGAAGGTAATCTGTAAAACCAAGTTCTAATGTGTGGGTGTCTCCACTTTCACTGTCTGTTCATTTTCTTCCCAGCACTTCTAACCACCCAGCCATGCAACCTCACCAACCCTAACTCCCTTAACACCACTACCCCTCAACACCCATCTTCCCCTCTCCCGCCATCACTAGCACCAGATCCGAGCAAGAAGCCTACCTGGATTTATTATTATTATTTATTTGTATTGCCGTAGCGTGTAGGAGCTCCAGTCACAGACCAGGACCCCAGTGTGCTAGGTGCTGTACAAACACAGAACAAAAACCACGTCGGCCCCAAAGAGCTTAAACTCTAAGTAGGACAAGAGATAACAGGTGGATTCAGAGAGAGAGAGAGAGAGAGAGAGAGTCAGAGAAGCACAAGGAAATAGTAGTAATACCTAGCTCTTAGATAGAACATTAGAACAGCCATACTGTGTCAGACCAAAGGTCCATATAGCCCAGTGTCCTGTCTTCCAACAGTGGCCAGTGCCAGATGCTTTAGAGGGAGTGAACAGAACAGGTAATCATCAAGTGATCCATCTCCTGTTACCCATTCCCAGCTTACAGAGGCTGGGGACACCATCCCCTGCCCATCCTGGCTAATAGCCATTGATGGACCTATTCTCCAGGACCTTCATCTAGTTCTTTTTTGAAACTTGGCCTTCACAACATCCTCTGGCAAGGAGTTCCACAGGTTGACTGTGCGTTGTGTGAAGAAATACTTCCTTTGGTTTGTTTTAAACCTGCTGTTTATTAATTTCATTGGGTGACACCTAGTTCTTGCGTTATGAGAAGGAGTAAATAACACTTCCTTATTTACTTTCTCCACACCCGTAGATCTCAAAGCACTTTACAAAGGAGAGCAGAATCATTACCTGATTTTAAAGATGAGGAAACTGAGGACCAGGGAGGTGAAGTGACTTTCCTAAAGTCAGAGCTAGGATTAGAACGCAGGTTCAGTTCAGAGCCTCAGTTCAGTTTTATCCATGAGTAAACTGACACCATGTAGTCAATCCTGTGGCTTATTCACTTCCACTGACTTGCAGGGTCAAATGAAGACGGACATTAACAGAGAGCAGAAAAAGCAAACAGAGGAGGGATTACCTGTGTGCAACACCTAGTACGTGAGGCTGGGGCCTCTAACTCCTACTGGAATGCAAATATAATCACAAATAAACAGATTTACTCATGGATTGAACAGCATAGGAATGAAGACGCATAGGATGCATTGGACTGGGCAAACTAATTCTCAGAGTCAGCACTCCGAGATCCAGGGATAAAAGGTGATTTGTAAGAGCTGTGCAGGGGTGGGTGAAAGTTTTCAGCTGGAACGTCTTTGGATGGGAAATTGGGTTTTTGACTAAATGGAAGTCTCTACAGAAAAAAATTCTTATGCTCTAATAAATTTGTTAGTCTCTAAGGTGCCACAAGTCCTCCTGTTCTTCTTTTTACAGAAAAAAATGTGGATTTATTTATTTGGTTGGTTGGAAAAATGAACACAAAACCCTATTTCTCCCCCTCATTTTTTTTTTTTTTAGCAGTTTTCAGCCACATTCTCTTTTGCGGTTTTTGATGTTTCAACAAAAAGTCTAAATTTTCCTGTCGTGGGGGTGCGGGAGGGACACCCATTTCTGACCCACTCTAGCACGAAGTATTATTATTATATGGCTCCCGGTCCAGCGCTTATCTTCATTTTGCAGCCAGCTCAGGGAGGGATGGGACCACCAAGGACTGACATGGCAGCTGAGACTGAAAAGAGACAGAGAGAAAGGCAGGGATTGATGGGGAGACAAAGAAAGGAGATTAATGAAAGGGAGGCAGCAAAAACCCACCCTTTCTCCGCTTATCTAATGGCTGAGAGTGTGAAACTGACTTTCTTGAGGCCACCTTCTGGCTAAGAGAAACAAAGACACGCTAATGTGTTTGTTCAGAAAACAATCCCCCACCTGGACCAGCTCAACCAGGAGGCTGGAGATGCAGAATCTAGCCCTCCATGGATCAGCACGTCCGCGCTGTTTAATTCAGACAGATGGACAGTTTCCGCTGCGCTTCACTGACAACAGTGGCACTCCCTGGGCTGACGGGACCTGCTAGGTATGGGGAAGAGAGAGCTGTAAACAAATATTGACAGCTTAGCTTCAGCTGTCAGCCCCAGGGGAAAGGGAAGGAGCAGAGAGGGGAGGAGTGGGTATTTCTCACTGCAGCCTCCGGCTAGGGCAAGGCTATACCATCTCAGCTGCGGTTTGACCTGCCTCAACATGGTGCTGAGTACCACACAGAGCCATCATTTGCAGGGCAGAGGATTGCTACACTCAGGGGGGAGGGGTAGCTCAGTGGTTTGCGCATTGGCCTGCTAAACCCAGGGTTGTGAGTTCAATCCTTGACGGGGCCATTTAGGGATCTGGGGCAAAAATCTGTCTGGGGATTGGTCCTGCTTTGAGCAGGGGGTTGGACTAGATACCTCCTGAGGTCCCTTCCAAGCCTGATATTCTATTATTTCTATGAGAGGACGTCTACACTGCAATCGGAAGTGCAAACTGCAGCTCTTACAGGTGTACCTGCGCTAACTTTGACCTAGCCAACATGGCTAAAAATGGCAGTGAAAACACAGCAGCACAGACCCCAGTACGGGCTAGCAAAGCAAATACGTTTCCAGGTGGGCTTGTGCAATCCATAGGGAAACCTTCACTGCTGCATCTTTACCGCTATAATTAAGCCAAGCTAGCTAGAGCGGGTGCCTACTTGGAGCTGCAGTCATACCTCTGATTGCAGTCTAGACATACCCTCGATTTTAGGATCACTTCTTCCCGCCCCCCTCTGACAGCCCCAGTATTACCAACCCCCACATTCAACTATTTTGAGTCAGGCCCCCCCCAAAAGTCAGGAGATTGGCTTAAAAATCATGAGACTTACCAAAATAATTGTACATTTGGGGTCTTTTGTTTGACTTCTGGTTTCCAAACCTCTCGGGTGCACTTGACCGCACGTTCAGGCCTCTCTCTGCAACCAGGAGAATTCAGTACTTTTTTTAATGAAAGCTGAGATTCTAACATAGTCACTTGACTCCAGCAGCTGGAGCTTTAAAGAGAACATTACCTGGCATGAGATCTGCAATAAACCCCAAACCTAGCCCTATTTTATGCAATTCAATTAGTTTGGGCTGGTGCTGCTTGACCTTATTTAGCAACTAATATGTAACTAGGATGAAATTAAGAAGGGGGGGATAACGAATGAATATTAGGGAAAGTATTCTCCCTAATAATGAGCGCGAGGAGGGTGCGGAACAGTCTTCTAAGGGAAGTGGTAGAAGCCCTGCATGCGAGAGACATAAAACCAGACCAGACTACTCACTTGAAAAAAAATAACATACCTGCACTGGCCCTCTGGGAACTGGGCAGAATGGAATCTTATTGGTCTTCTCCATCTCTAGCTAGTAAGATTCTGCAATCCCAGTACAATGAAAGAGACCGATACATGAGCTGGTTGCATCAGAGAAAACGTATTGGACCTTTACTCCCCATACTAGAACTGGTTTGATGTTCAGGTTCAGAAGTGTTTAGTTAGCTTCCTCACACGCCTACTTACATTTCAAGACGCCCTGAGAAAGGCTGTCCTCCTGAAACCTCCATCCTGACACCGCAGTATGCAGAGATTCATCCAAACTTCTGGGGCCCAAATAAGCCTTCAACTCTTTGAGGTTCACTGCTAGGCGTTTTTCCTTTCATAAGAACATAGGACTGGCAAGGACCTCCTGAGTCAGAGTGTCCAGTCCCTTGCTATCGAAGGCATCCACATCATATAAACCCATTCATAAATTTAGCCAGCTCCATCGTAAAACCAGGTAGGTTTCTTGCCCCTTCTATTCCTATTGGGAGGCTGTTCCAAAAACCTCCCTCCTCTCATGGTTAGAGACCTTCTTATTCCCAGCCTTTCATTCCAGATCAAATTTATTTATTAGCAGCTATCTGTAGAGATTCCAGCCTCTTACCCTTCCAGACTAAACTGGCACTGATCCCTCTTTGCCCTCCAAGAAACTGACCTTTCTTGTCCAGTTCCAGGAGAACGCAGACAAGCCTTTAATCCTCCCCAACAGAAGTGTCATCCTGTTTGACTGGTAAGTCCAATTTAATTTTTTGCATTAACATCGTTATTACCACAGGAGGTGCATAAGAAATGCTGATATCTGCAAACTTTGCATCTTGGGGCCATTAGATTGCATCAGTGCATGCTTACCTTGCATCTTTGTTAGAGCTGGCTGAAACGTGGGATTTCCGGTTCACGGGAAATTTTGTTATTTCAAAATGTGG